AACGTTTTTAATGGGTGGAACGGGAAAAAGAGGGTTAAAAACATTTTTGGGATAAAATGGTATAAAAAGATTTGTTGGGGCTAATTTTTATGGTCAAAAGTCAATAAAAGAGGGAGACAAGAGATGAGGGGGTACGGTGAAATCCTTAGGAATTTCTTTATGCCGCTTGAAAGAAAAATGGAAAGAGGGTCTACCATGAAATAATATGAGGAATTAGGGTTCTATACGAAATTTTCCCTAGAAAAAAATAAAAAAATAAAAAACAGAGCATAATCTTTAAGAATTTCATGCGAGACCTCACACACACACATACACGTGCATGCACATACACAGACTAAATACATACACACATTTACAAAACACAAACATACAAAACAACATGTGGCCCCACCCCAACCCCCTTATCTTAGGGCCACCCAGGTATATGGGCACGCGCTAGGCGGCTGCATCCGCCTTCTTGAACATTGGTATTAAGTCCCTAAGGACTTATTTTTCTTTTCACACACTTACAGGACACCTTTATATATTAGTGAAAAAAATACCTAGGCGCCCGCCTAAGCGGCTGCATCCGCCTTCTTGAACATTGGTATTAAGTCCCTAAGGCCTTGTTTGTCTTTTTACACACTTACTGTAACAAATTATTAGAAGAGGGGCGTGTGGGTAAGTTATAACCCAAGGTGACTCCCTCTCTTGCCGCCCTTTGTCTCAACGTCTCTCTTTCTCACACACAACTTCTCCCTTTCTCTCTATAGATGATCTTCTCCCCTTGTCATTCTTCTTCTTTTCTGCTGTATATTATTAACTTGGGTTCGTAAATTATCAGTAATAAGAAACATCTGTAACCTACACATGCTCAGGGGAAGTACCATTAATGCAAAAGTAATCCATCAATGTTTCACTTCATCAAGAAACATGTTCCAACTAGAATAGTTCAATCAGATTCATCCTCTGAAGACAACTTTGGCCTCAAGCATCCTAATTCTTGATATTTAATAAAGGAAACCTTGTTATCTAGTTACTGGTTCATTAAATTATCAGTAGTAAGAAACATCCATAACCTACGCATGCTCAAGGGAAGAACCAGAATATGAGCTCAATGCAACAGTAATCCATCAGAGATTTGGAGAACATGATTGACTATGAAATTCCTACAAAGGCAACATACAATCTCAAAGAAAGCAATGACTTTTAGAAAAATTAAATGTGAGACAGGAAGAGATAACGATACCAAGAATCTCTATATGAACATACTCAGCATGCATGATTAACAGGTATACAATGTATGCATTCAGAATCTAAAATGAAGAGAAACCACAAGTTGTCAATGAAAACCACTTAAACTGCATACCACTGGTTATCGATCTGAGCATATCCCGAACTGAAAGACAAAATAGGCTCACCAAGGGCAGAAGCCTTCTCATACCTCCTCAAGCAAAGACCTTCCATGGCATGAGTAACAGGTTACATGATTAATAGCAAAGAACATGAAAGGACTTCAAATCACAAGCATAACCAAGTCATTCAAAATTATTTGGCCCATTGACAACTTATTTAAACAATAAAATGAACAAAATTTTGAGACTAATATTCAACGGTTGTTGGATTAATATGTGACTTCAAATATACGACAGGTGTTTAAGAAGCTTAAACATGCTAAGATGTCCTTCCCAGCAATTGATTATAAATACAAGTAGAAATATCAGTAGTATAGAATTACCCAGATTTAAAGGCAACAAGTATGATGAATAAGCCATATCAGGTAAGCTTACCAGTGAAACATCCGCACATTATGAGATTAAGGCCAATCCCATCCTTCTTTGAATATGAAAGAAGCTTTAATGCACATTCTGTTTCATCCTTCCTTGAAGTACAAAAAGAAGTATTAAGCTTCTCTAGAAAATGATTGTTTCAAACATGACAATTTCTCGGGGGACAACGAAAATTGAAGTCAACTTACTTTTCACACTCCACAAAGAGGATAGAGTATGTTATGCTGTTTGGACACATGCCTGCTTCCCTTGTTTCCTCTAGCACTTCAACTGCTTTGTGAAGTTGCTCACCTTCACCTGTAATAAAACTGGTGCTGTTTTACACTCGAGCAAATATTGACAGTGTAACAACAATCACCATCCTTGACAAGTTGACACACTAAACACATGCAAACCAAATATTAAACCAGAACAAGATATTCTGATTACAATCAAAGGGTTGATAACTGATTACCAGCTGCTAAAAATTTAATTCTAGAACGTCCACGTCCAACAATTTATCCATTCTAAATAAATATTTGCAGGATTATTTTGGGATAAGCAGTGGAATTGGAGCCCTAGACATTGCTTTGTGGTTTCACTGCATAAACACCGAGCAAAGAGCCCCATTCCCCAAATATTTGCAGAATTACATTAATTATACAGCACATTGCTTTTCTTTATTCCAGCGCGCCTAAAATCATCCCAAGCGCTGCTAATGTGGCTACTAAGCTATTTCTTTGGAAAGCTCCTACTAAGATGGGAAATTCCCCGATAAAGCTGCTAGTACCAGGTAAACTCATATTGGCCAAAGTGGAACTGAGAGCATCTTCTTCTTCTAGCGATTGTGTAGGTGAATAAAGTCTCTTCATCAATGATAAATCAACAAATTATGTTCGATTAGTTTATTGCTATTCTTCTTAAATATCAAATTTATTGCTATTCTTCTAAATCCTAGAAAGCTGAGAGTATCATCTTTTAAAACTCCCTGTTTCACCTCAACCAGCGAGTTTTTGAGGTTAAAATGTTAGAACCATACCAGAAGAGAAAATGGCACATTAAAAGAAGGGTGTGGTTTGTATACGGCTGAGGCCCTAAACAATCAAAGTAAGGTGTACATTAGTATCGAAAGACGATTTTTCAGCAGCAAAAATCTTTGTAATGGCCTGAAAATTTATTTTAATTACTAATTATAACATTTAAAGCTTCAGAAATATTGTAGATCAAGCAGAATCTATAAACACTTAAAATTTTGAAAATTGAAAGCCCAGATAATGCATTACAAGATGCACTATTTCCAAAACCTGAAATCCTTTTTTTTCATATTTTTACATCTTGAGGTCAAGATGATCCATATGAGGGTTTTAAGACACTGAAACAACCTCTTCTAATGAATTTTTGAGGTGCGATTTAATTTGATTGTTTAAAGCCTCAACCTTGTATAAACTTTTTCCTTAAAAGAATTGACATATATCTTCCAATAAGGGTCAATGTTTTCCAAACAATTCAGGATGAATCTCATACGACTTGTTGAAAGAAATTGGTAAGTCCCTTCCTCTAAGGAAGATCTAGGTATTGATTCAGATCAACTTGGGATCGTCATTGTGATGTATTTTGCAAACTTGATACGTTTGTATCACAAGATAAATCCTAGCAAACTAAGAGTATCATCCTCTACCACCAATTTTGTGGGTGAATAAAATGTCTTCATCAAATGAGACATCAAAAAATAATGTTCATTAATTTATTGCTATTCTTCTTAAAATATCCAGAAATGGGAAAACATCTGCTTTTTTTGTGGACTTTACTATGTAATGTCAGGACAGTATACAATCACTTATTATTACCAGTTCAGAGCTTGATATTTAAGGGAAATGATGCTTTCTAAGCATCATGTCAAACGTATAAATTGAATTTAAACCCCAAAAAATGGCAAACCCATTTACGCATCACCCTCCACAATATTCCTTTTCACTAGATAGAAGATAATTAATTCAGATGAGACATACACAAAGAAGTGATCAGAGCATTCAATGTTGACACAGTTGGAAGTAGTTTGATGGATTTGATATCTTCATACAGCTCCAGTGCCCTTTGCCAACTTTTTGCCTGAAAAAAAGAAATTGGACCAACTCAGTTATATCCTAGTGAAGATTGGCTCATGGCAAAAAAAATTCCATAATCACAATGAGTCAATGAAAAATTAACAAGTAAACAAAATTGTAAGAAAACAGATACATCGGCTAGAAAGCAACCAATGGAAAAGAGAAAAGACACTGGTCATACTTGACAAGAACTAGAAAAAAATTATCACAAAAGAAAAAAAAAGACAAGGAGTAGAAAAAATGGGGTATGAACGCATTGCAAATAATATCGAGAATTAAATTCTATTGTTGCATTAATAGAAAAATTAAAAAATGAGATGAAACTTCTAATTAGGTGGAAAAATAGACGCACATGCCTACAAGCTCCCATTAAAGAGCTATATAATATGTTCCCAATCTGTATTCCATGATTTTTGGCATCCTGGATGATACTAAAGGCAACATCTAACTTTCCAGCATGTCCTGCAACATCTATTAGCGCACTAAAAAACACCTGACAAACAACAACAGAAATGCGTCAACTAACATTTACTGCATACAGAGAATAAAAAATCCCAGGTGAAAATTAAGAGAAGGTTCAAAGAGAGCATTGCGTTGTTGCATAGAGCTTATGAATTGACGAAATTTTCACCAAACAAATCATTAAGTATTAGCAACAAGAGAATAAAAAATACAAACATACCCAGCACATTACCAATTACAGTTCGTTTTTTCTTTTTTTATTAAAGAAAAAAATAGCTACAATACAAGGACTGGTTAGGATGTAAATCCCAGCTAGATTTGAGATCGTTGTGCCTGATTTTTGTGACTAATTCTTGCAGCTTAGGAGCAATGTTTCAAAACTCGGCTCAGGCCTCAGATTCCTACCTAGCCCAAACCGAGTAACTCACCTGAGTCCGGAAGGACTCCGCCAAGTAGAGTACAGGGACCAAAAGGCCATTAAAAAAATAAAAAATAAAAATAGAACAAAACTCGTAAACCAAAATCAAAGACAACAAAAACTCCCAAAAAAAAAAATTTATATATAAATATATATATATCTAAAACAAGGATTTAGAAATTTTTGATTTAATGTAGGAAACATCAAAAACATCCAAAACAAAACAGGAAAATATAAATATAGGGCATATGACATAAAAAATCACAAGTAATTGTAAAAAAAATCCAAATTACATATTTAATTTGATACGTTGATTCCAAATTTATATATATATATAATTTAAATCACCCGAGTTTCACCCAATTACGTGGCTCAGCAAGAAGCCAAGGCTGAGTAACTCGACTGAGTCTGAGAAGGACTCAGTGGAGGCTAAGTAACTCGACTAAGTCCGAGAGGACTCAGCCGAGTTTCCAGTTACAGCTTATGAGCATTCCATAATTACCTCCACACAAGAATATGTATACATCATCTCTCAATTTGTTCTTCATCATTAAAAATTGGAAACATATCAGTCAGTGTGACACTGGCATAAATCATGTAGATGCTCCAGAAACTAGGAACCAGAAAATGGTCACAGGACCTGATTCCCATTTCAAATGATCGTTTTACTTGGCTATTTTGTTAAAATACCTCTCCTACCCTTCAGAATGATTAATAGTTGTTTATAAAACACCTCTCCTACCCAGGTGCAGTTTTGAGACTCTAAGGTTCTAGAGGCCATGCATGATTAATCCAGGTATTCCAGGCAATGATTTGATTTCTCCCCTTGAAACATTACTGGAGATTATGGAAATGACAAATTGAAGGCTAACTGCCTGAAGGCTTTGGCCATGTGATAACCATCAGCAATGCAGTAAAAAACACTACGAGACGCTATTGGGTTACTTCAAGATGAACACAGTATTGACAATTGGGATGTCAGCAGACATGCTTGTTGAATCTTATAGCATGAGTTAGGTTCAATCTAAGACAAGGTACATAAATTTGTCAAGATATCCCAACAAGCAATATCAGCATCAAAAGAAACACATGTATCTTTTTTATTTTTACATTGATGGATAACTAAATTTCATTCAAGGAACCATAATCAATTGCAGCGATAGAGAATGAAAAAACAGTATATATGATATTGATCCTTACGCTAGCAAGATCCTCAACTTTATTTCCAAAGAGAGCATTGTTAGATATCAGACAAATAATATGATAGTAGCTGAAGTTCTGCATACCCAGCAATGTAGAAGCTATGGAAAGTACCTCATCAGGCTTAACACCATTCTCTTTCATATCATCATAAACTCTCAAGGCAAAATCCCAATCACCCTTTTCACTGCAACTACTAACAGCTATTGTGTAAACATCTGGGCAACCCTTGATGTTATACTCATGGACCATTTTGTATACTTCAAGTGCTCTGTCAACCTAGAAATAGAATTTAAGTTGAATGAAATATCTTAAAAACAATAAACAAAATTTACAATAAATTAGGGAAGTGTACCTGTCCGGCTTGTGAGCATGTTCTCATCAATGCACCAACAGTCACATGATCAGGATCTATGGGTTGAGGCTCAGCTCTCATCTCTGATAGAACATCAAATGCACGATCCACTGCTCCTGATCGACCGCATGCATTGATAAGTGCATTGAACACAACTCGATCGGGCTTCACATTCTAAGGAAACAGAAGAATTAATATTAAAGGTTAAAAGGATAAAGAAGTAGAAGTTGCTTTTCAACTACATAAACAACGAAAACGAATGGATGAGGTCTTCAAACTCCCAAGTTCAAAATAAAGCAATGCATTGTGGTGATTCATTCAAATTAGGCTTTAAAATAATTGCATAAAATACGTAACAATGTGGACTAAAATCAGTAAAGAGAAAAAACTATACATCTCACTCATTTCGTACCTTGGATCTCATAATCCCATAGGCCCCAAATGCCTTGGCAATCTGTCCAGCCCTAGCACAACCATCAATCAACGCCCCATACGTATGGACATTTGGCTCAACTCCAGTGTTGACCATTTCATGAAACACCTATTAGAGAAATTTAAAAGAACTTAAGAACTCCTATGGTTAGAAAAGTCAAATGAGAAGTAAAGTATCGAATAGACATAAATGGTTCTACTATATTTGTACAACAGGCAGTCAATTCACCATCCATTCTCAAGACAGACAGAATAGGCAAACCCTTGCATGGAACAATGATATTCAGTCCATACAGAAGTTCATGCAAATGGTACAAGGCCTGCCTGTGCACAATGCAATACACATTACGTGCATGATATAATTCCCTAAAAGGACAACATATCCAAGTCAATTGCAAACTTAACTAAGAAAAAGCTTAAAAAGACCTAGTGTGCTTTTTAATGCAATGGAAACACTCCATAACCACTAAAATATTGAGTAGATTGATTGTTGATGCAAGCATAACTTGTATAACTTATACCAGTTTCTTCTTTCATAAACTCGCGAAGTCCACCTGAAATCAAGTCATAGGACACTGTGATGTTCACCCAAGCTAGTAGATTCTAAGACTTGGAATTCAAATATTAAGTATTTGAAAATAAAGGCATAGGCCTTCTTGACTTAGTTCATTCCCTGGGCCATTCTGACTGCTCTTATAGCCTTTTCTTTGTTACATTCATTTCTCATGATTAATGTAGGAGTTTCTTGTGACTATATCCCTTGTCAAGAAAAAATATCACACCATCATCAATGTGTACTTTCCGTGTATTATTTGACAATATTCACATGACATAACAGGGTTACATAACTCACTGAATCGACTCACCTAAGTCCCACGTCAACTTGACTCAGAGACCCGCCGATCAAAGCCATGACAGTAGTCATCAGCTATATTCTTGTCCTTATATCATTCCAGTTACGGTTTTCTACCGAGCCACAGAGGGTATCTGGTCTTTAGTGGTTGGAAGAGCCTAGGGACAAATCTAGGGGAGAGGGAGTGGAGCAAGCAAAGATAATATTTCCAATACGAATCCACGTTAGTTCTGAGAGTGAGAAATGAGAATGCCGTACACATGCAAGTTTCCCACAAATCGCCATCGTCATTTCAGATGTGCCCTCAGAAAATTTCATACCCATTAAAGAAAGGGGAAGAGAGAATGGAGGCACTTGTGCAGAATCAAAAGATTTCAAGACTAGAAACTTGGTAATTCCCACTTTGTCCACACCATGTGCAATACCCATAGCATTTGAATACCTTGTTGTGTAAAAATATAATTGCAATTTGGGTATAAAAGAGTAGTACAACCGCAATATTAGTTTCATACAAAATACGCTTTCATTAACAAATCTCATGCATAACTCAACTCATGTCATCCTAGTTGTGCTAAATCGAAAGGGGGGAAAAAACATATTTACTACTCTACAAGTATGCATTAAGGCTAAGGATGCACATCCACACACATATTATACAGAGTGTCAACAAAAATCAGGTTGCAAATGCAGCACTTGTTCTCACTAGCCAGAAGTAAAGAAGCCATACTTCAAACATTCCGTCAACCTTTCCACTTTTTGCACAAGTTGAAATTAGCGTCGTGTATAATTTGCAATCAGCTTTTAATCCTGCCTCCTTGACTAGCGCGAGGACACGAAATGCTCCTATATATGATATGCAAATCAGGTATTTTACCTGATAAAAACTTAAGTTTGAATCATTATAATGAGATGAACTTAAAATTTTCAACATGAAAACCCTAGAGATTCATCATCTAATGACACACTAAAAGTTACCTTCTGAATCATGAGAACTTGCATACACAGACAAAAGCATGTTGAATGTACTCAAGGATGGCTTCCTAACCAGCTGGACAAAACGAAATGCCTCATCCACAGCCTTTTGTGTTTTACACATGTTCAAAAATCGTGTGTGGTAAATCTGAAACAAAAGCAACATGATGAAGTTTCTAATGATAGCCGATCAAATATGCAAAACATAAACTCCAAGTGAAATATAATCACTACCTTATCCATATCTAACAATGCCTTCTCGTCCATGCTTTCTAGCAATTGTATGCAATCATTCAATCTGATTAGCCATGATTTATGAACAATCAAAATTTAAAATTAAGCCAATGAATGGAAAAGTAAAAGATAAAGTACTAATGTCAATAACTACGCATATGTGAGATACAAAATTCATTCATTAGTTATAACTCATTCATTAGTTATAACTAAATTGCCACAATGCCCCTAAGACAAGTATACCAAAATAGTTCCTGGAAATACAAATATGATAAAATCTTTGATAATTTAATTTTGCTGCTGAATGAAAAAGAATACAAGAGGGACACAAGCGTGCAAGATTTGAAATAAAAAAAATCCAGGAACACATGCTTAAGAGAGAAAAGTCCCAAATTGGTGAGAGAGAATATTATAAGGATTGTAGGAGCTACAGAATGAAGATTGACCTCTACATAAAAGCAAACTGCTCGTGGCTAAAATGCTCAAGCTTCAAGCATTTACATTTTTATATTGCCTTTTCAATGAAACATAGCCTTTAAAAATAACTTAAAAAGAGGTGATAAGTGATAACATGTCAGACTCTTACGACGCGGTGAGATTTTAAGTGACTCATAGTGCATTACCTAAAAGTCTGAAACAGTACCTAATCAAGTCAGAAAAATGAAAATTCTATTAATTGATTTCTAAACAAATCGCTCGAGAGTGTCCAAAGTTAACTTTTCAAGAATGCAACCTGTACATAAGAGAATATGTCTTTTCAACAGTAACTATTCTTACTTATTATAGGACCATCAGCAACAACACAAATGTTACATATCAATGAAAAGAGCATATTCACAAGTTCTTTAGACAATAGCTAAAATCAACGATCAGTAGTACCTCCCATGTTTTAACCAGCGATTATACATCCTGAGGTACTCGGATAGGTCATCCTTTTCCTTCTCAGTCTCGTTGGGTAGACGGCTCGGTGGGAAACTCCCAACATCATTCTGAACAGAATTTTCTTCCTTGTCAACTGTGAACCCAATTCCATTGTTTCGTTTCTTTCTTGCTTTTACAGACCCTTGTTTATCATATGGAGAGAGAACTCTTCCTTCCAAAATTTCTGAAAATTGGCATGAGTTGAAATGGGCGAAAACAACTGAAAGAAACCCTAATGTTAAATGAAAGAAACCCATACAGTCAAGAAAAATAAAATATGATCTACAAAGACCAACAGCAACAAGAAAACAATGACAGAAAAAAATAAGAAGAATCCAGACAAATGCTGGGCATACGTTTGTTATTCATAACCTTCACGGCATGTCCCAGTTTGTTGTGGTTATGAGGCCTCTTAAATGACAGACACTCCTTTTTATTGTTGTCCATGTGGGAATTAGTAGTGCCAGGAGTTTGAGAACTTATTGCATTGTTATTCATAACCTTCGCAGCATGTCCCAGTTTGTTGTGGTTATGAGGCCTCTTAAATGACAGACACTCCTTGTTATTTTTGTCCATGTGGGAATAAATAGTGCCAGGAGTTTGAGAGCTTATTGAAAAAGACACACCATACTGACTTCTAGCGATTGCTTTAGGCTCCACAGCCAGCCCTTTACATTCCCCATTTTCACCAGAGACTAGAGTGCCAAAGGTTCTATTTGTTCCATATCTATGTTCATGATTAAGATGGACCACTACAGCTGCATGTGTACCCTTTAAGTTATCAAAGGAGCCCTTAAAATGTGATGCTTCCAGGGCCATGGATACCATGGGGTTAACATGAGCTTCCCCTTGAGATTCTTCATCCAATTGCCTTTTTGCGCAGATAAATCTTGAACTATCCAAGTCACAATAACCCTTTTCACCAAATTTCTTTGGCATAAGATCCAAGCTCATGACTTCAGCTGCTTTGGCATAAGAAGGGTTCCTAGCACTTGATCCCGCAGAATGAAAATTGGGTTTTTGTATTTCCTTTATTTTAACCATCTCTTGTATACCCCCTGTGTTTTGAATTCTTCGAAGATCAGGAGAGTGAAATCCCTTAAAATTAGAAGCAACGACTGTGCTAACATCAGAAGCAGCTGCTGCAGTGACAGCCATTTCCTTAGTGCATTCATCATACTCAATAAAGTTTACTTTTGGTATTGAGTGCTCAGTTTGGAGATTTTCTGGAGCCTCCATTGTAGTCTCAGTAATGACCTGCACATTATTTACTTAAGCACCACACCACAAGACATATCCGGATAAACCCAAGCGAAAAGAAACAAATGCATACGCATAAATAGGTACAGAAACAACGAAAGAGAAATGAACGAATTTCCTGACCTTCGAAGGCTTCTTATGCCTTTGATTTATGTAATTTAAGTAAAAGCGGATGGCAGCAACGACAGCAATTGCAATTGCGATAAGAGCAGAGGTCTCCATTAAAGCAGCTCGACAGATGAGGCCATGAGAGCGATGAGTCCGAAACCTTAAACCTAATGGCCTGAACTTTTTGCGAGAGCGGAGAGCAGGAGGTCTGAGAGAGTGGGCCAAGCCCAGGAGATCCACTCTGAAGGGGGTTTGAAAGGAGGAGAAAGACAAGTATTTCAAAGAAGAAGAAGAAGAAGGAGAGAATGGGAGCAATGGGGGTCTGGAGAGGAAGGTAACCTCCATGAAATGGTGAAGTTGATAAAGTTACAGAATGTGAGAAGTGGAGACGGCGGAGTGCGAAATGCAAGAGAGAGAAAAAGAAGGTATGCCTTGTGCGTGTAAGAGAGAGAGAGGAGAGAGAGAGAGAGAAAAGTGAAGAGAGAGAGAGAGAGAAGTGTAGTATGTATGTACTGCGAGTGAGGGAGGGAGGGAGGGAGGTAGGGATAACGAGGCAACTGAAACCACTGGCGAGGAGGAGCTTGAAACCGTGGAGTGATTTCCGGATAGAGACCGCATGGTCTTGGAACTACATTTTGGAATCGGAACCAAATCAGCGAGTGTCGCATGGCAGTGTCCAGTCCTGCTTGCCGTGTCTACTTCTTGGCGTGAATTTAATGCACGTAGGACGCGTATTTTAAGTACTAATATTACGAAACTCTCACGTCGCATTCTCTACCACTAACGCCCATTATAATAAGTACGTCTTTTATAAGTTAAAAGTTTATTCAAAGCCGAGGCTCTAAACAATCAAATTAAGAGCCTACCTCAAATATTTCACTAGAAAATATTGTTTCGACGCTGAAATATCTTTAAATTTATAATCTCGACAACAAGATGCATGAACATGAGAAAAAAAATGGATTTCGAGTTTTGAAAATAGTGTATTTTATAATGTTTTTTGGACCGTCAATTTTTAAGATTTTCAAGTTTTCATAGATCAATTTATCTATACTATTTTTGAAGCTTTAAACTTTATAAGTAAAGATAAAAATATATTTTAAGGCTATCACAAAGATTTCTAATATTGAAACAAC